TTGCTGTAAAGTTGCTTTGCAATGATTTGTATCGTGAAAAGCGCTGTACAAATAAACTTGACTTGATTTGACATGTCAGTGATGTGTAATTTGTATATTACACATACAAAGACATTTGTTTTTATAATTATATATGAGACAAATGTCAAAATATGTATTATACACACATTAACATAAAATATATGGAATAAATGTATGTCAATATATGTAAGTCGTTCCAATTTCTAATAGGTTTCATATGTTTTTACATTATATGAGCATTTATGTTTTTCATCTATATGAGCATATTAGCACATTTCATATATGAGACATATATATGTCAAAATATGTATTATACATATACTGAACAAAATTATAAACGCAACACTTTATAAACGGCAAAGGAGAAGTGCTCACTAACACAGATTTAGACAGATTTGTGAACAATATTTGAGAGAAATAGGCCTTTTGTGTACATAGAAAAAGTCTTAGATCTTTGAGTTCAGCTCATGAAAAATGGGGGCAAAAACAAAAGTGTTGCGTTTATAATTTTGTTCAGTGTACATAAACATATATAATATATGGAATAAATGTTTATGTCAATATATGGAATTGTTCCAATTTCTAATAGGTGTCATATATGTTTTCACTTTATATGACCATATATTACATATTTTGATATTTCATATATGCACATATATTACATTACCGTATGTGTAATAAGAAGACTTTCTGAGTTTTTAATGCTCCTTTTATTATTGGTTTCTCAGCAGCTCTGGTTACACTGAATTTCTCATTTTGTGTTTCTGGTGTCTGTTGTGGAGATAAACACATCTGACATAATGCTTTAAGTGCAGGAGTTTACTGAAAATGTATGAATTGTTGATTCATTTCAGCTACACATTAAAAGAAGAGACCCAAAACAAAGAAGGAACAATTCATATACAGACATACGTTTATGATAGTGACTTTCCTACATGATTCACTAAGTTACACAGTTAATAGAAAAGAGGAAACAAACATTAAATTGATTGTTTTGTAATTTATTTCCGAGAAGAACTGTAATGTTTCTAAGGCACACGTCTGATCTTCATGCTGATGGATTTCATTCCGACAGCGTAACCCTTCCATGATGACCAAACATTTCCAATGGCGTAATGGGTGGGATCTTTACCCCATAAATATATACCGTTGGGGTTTGCATAGTGACAGCTATTGTACCAAAATCCCCCAAGATACTGTTTGGCACAGTTATTTTCATAGACATCTTGGTCTTTGTCGAAGGTGGAGAACTTGAATCCATTATGGCCAGATAAAGAGTCACCTGCAGAGAAGAAGAGCATCACTAAGGACAATAACCCAATGGAAATTAGTTTTCTTGAGTATAAATGAAAGCATCCTACCTGCTCCTCCATCAGTGAATCCTGAAACATGCAGCTGATATCCATCGGTTTCACAATCCACAGAGAAGGACGAGTACAGAGCGAAAACTTTATTTCCTTCAAAGTCCTCCAGATCCACTCTCAGCATGTACATGTTCTTTAGGTCACGTCCCAAAACCATTCAAGCTGGCGGTTATTAAGCCTCTTATTAAGAAACCACAACTAGATCCTAGTGAACTGGCAAATTACAGACCCATCTCAAATCTTCCTTTTATGTCTAAAATTTTAGAAAAAGTTGTGTCTGCTCAATTGTGCTCCTTCCTGCAAAAAAATGATCTCTATGAAGAATTTCAGTCAGGTTTCAGGCCCCACCATAGCACAGAAACTGCACTTGTTAAAATTACAAATGACTTGCTTCTTGCGTCAGACCAAGGCTGTATCTCATTGCTAGTTTTACTTGATCTTAGTGCTGCGTTTGATACTATAGATCATGATATACTCATAGATCGATTACAAAACTATACAGGTATTCAAGGGCAGGCTTTAAGATGGTTTAGATCCTACCTGTCCGATCGCTACCACCTTGTTCATTTAAATGGGGAGTCATCTCAATTATCACCAGTAAAATATGGAGTGCCACAAGGATCTGTCCTAGGTCCTCTGCTATTTTCGATATACATGTTGCCCCTTGGTAATATTATTAAACTTGACTTGATTTGACATGTCAGTGATGTGTAATTTGTATATTACACATACAAAGACATTTGTTTTTATAATTATATATGAGACAAATGTCAAAATATGTATTATACACACATTAACATAAAATATATGGAATAAATGTATGTCAATATATGTAAGTCGTTCCAATTTCTAATAGGTTTCATATGTTTTTACATTATATGAGCATTTATGTTTTTCATCTATATGAGCATATTAGCACATTTCATATATGAGACATATATATGTCAAAATATGTATTATACATATACTGAACAAAATTATAAACGCAACACTTTATAAACGGCAAAGGAGAAGTGCTCACTAACACAGATTTAGACAGATTTGTGAACAATATTTGAGAGAAATAGGCCTTTTGTGTACATAGAAAAAGTCTTAGATCTTTGAGTTCAGCTCATGAAAAATGGGGGCAAAAACAAAAGTGTTGCGTTTATAATTTTGTTCAGTGTACATAAACATATATAATATATGGAATAAATGTTTATGTCAATATATGGAATTGTTCCAATTTCTCATATATGTTTTATATGTTTTCACTTTATATGACCATATATTACATATTTTGATATTTCATATATGCACATTACCGTATGTTATTATTGGTTTGTCAGCAGCTATGGTTCCACTGAATTTCTCATTTAGTGTTTCTGGTGTCTGTTGTGGAGATAAACACATCTGACATAATGATTTCAGTGCAGGAGTTTATTCTAATTGTATGATTTTGACCAAAAACAAAGAATAGTTCATAAACAGACATAAGTTTATGATAGTGATTTTCCTACATGATTTACTAAGTTACACAGTTAATAGAAAACAGGAAACAATTAAACATTAAATTGATTGTTTTGTTGTTTATTTCCGAGAAGAACTGTAATGTTTCTAAGACACACGTCTGATCTTCATGCTGATGGATTTCATTCCGACAGCGTAACCCTTCCATGATGACCAAACATTTCCAATGGCGTAATGGGTGGGATCTTTACCCCATAAATATATACCGTTGGGGTTTGCATAGTGACAGCTATTGTACCAAAATCCCCCAAGATACTGTTTGGCACAGTTATTTTCATAGACATCTTGGTCTTTGTCGAAGGTGGAGAACTTGAATCCATTATGGCCAGATAAAGAGTCACCTGCAGAGAAGAAGAGCATCACTAAGGACAATAACCCAATGGAAATTAGTTTTCTTGAGTATAAATGAAAGCATCCTACCTGCTCCTCCATCAGTGAATCCTGAAACATGCAGCTGATATCCATCGGTTTCACAATCCACAGAGAAGGACGAGTACAGAGCGAAAACTTTATTTCCTTCAAAGTCCTCCAGATCCACTCTCAGCATGTACATGTTCTTTAGGTCACGTCCCAAAACCATTCAAGCTGGCGGTTATTAAGCCTCTTATTAAGAAACCACAACTAGATCCTAGTGAACTGGCAAATTACAGACCCATCTCAAATCTTCCTTTTATGTCTAAAATTTTAGAAAAAGTTGTGTCTGCTCAATTGTGCTCCTTCCTGCAAAAAAATGATCTCTATGAAGAATTTCAGTCAGGTTTCAGGCCCCACCATAGCACAGAAACTGCACTTGTTAAAATTACAAATGACTTGCTTCTTGCGTCAGACCAAGGCTGTATCTCATTGCTAGTTTTACTTGATCTTAGTGCTGCGTTTGATACTATAGATCATGATATACTCATAGATCGATTACAAAACTATACAGGTATTCAAGGGCAGGCTTTAAGATGGTTTAGATCCTACCTGTCCAATCGCTACCACCTTGTTCATTTAAATGGGGAGTCATCTCAATTATCACCAGTAAAATATGGAGTGCCACAAGGATCTGTCCTAGGTCCTCTGCTATTTTCGATATACATGTTGCCCCTTGGTAATATTATTA